GCTCCTGCGTGCAACTATAAAACCCGCAAGCGCTCCCGAAAAGCTCCCTCTCAACCCATTTGCCAACTTCTGGGAAGTCGTGGCTAGAGATTATGGGAATGCACGACCGGTTGAAAAGTTCTTACGAGTTGACTACAGTTTCACAAGGTTGTGTGTCGGGTGGGCGCGATGGACTGCGAGATCCGGGTAAGTTGGTGTAGAGGCTGAGCTGGCGGGGTGACGACCGCTGTGGTGTGAAGGTTGGTATGTGGTGACCGGGATCGCTAGTGCCAGTGTAGGGAAAGGTGCATGTATATGAGAGGTTGTATGGCCTGGGGCCATAGTCAGAGAGTGGAAGGCTTACGCGCCTCAGATCTTCGATCCCTCCTTTTATTCTTTTAGAAGCTAAGCTCACGGCGGATTGTCGGTTTCGGTTTTCGAATCTATTTGTGTGCTTACTACTCTTTCGTTATCTTTACTCCTCTTCTTCGATCAAGCCGTATCTCCGATGTTATCTCGTCCCCCTCTCTCTCCTTTTTTGTATTTCCGTCATGAATGAATGAATGTGCTGACAAAGTTTCAACGTCCCTGCGAGTCCCTGAGGTTTTGACTTGTTTGCCTCATTGAATTCAATCGGATCTCACAAAGACAAGCATCGTTGAATTTGAGAGGCCAACAAGTTCGCGTAATCTTGCCAGACCCTTTTCCTTGCTTCCTAGTGCCTGATGATTTATGCATGAGTGATATTTTTTTGTATCTGACGATGGGAATAAATTAAGATTCTGATATGATGCATGCTCGCACGAATGTAAGCTAATCATTCTCTCGATTGGATTGGATTGTATGATGATTCGAAACTAATGCATGGCGTGGGGTCTACTTATTTTCGTGATTGGATAACAGACTGATTAGGTAGACGAAATCTAGGTTTTGCTTGTGCCATATGGACCAAACATTCCGATCCGACCGGGTGCCAACTTCTCATACGCCCATCTCGGCCATTCCCCTATAACGAAAAAATGACACGTGTATGCGAGTGAGACGTAAGGGAAACCGTCACCAAGATCGACGAAAGATACTACTTCCCACCAGAGATGAGGTGTTCTGGATTTGTAGGTGTTGGTTTTGTCATTGTTGACACTCACTTTCCTCCGTATTCGTTGTTGTTGTCTTTTAATGAGTTGATTGTCATCCTGTGGACGACAATGGCACCCCATTGGCCCAACAACCAGTGCAACGATTGCGGCCACATAGAGCGCTACCGGAAAAGGGGGTTCCACTATCGAACACGTGGTGAAGACGAACACAAGGAACGAGCAATCAGACTGAGGTATTCCATGTCGGACTCTGGGCTTTATACCGAGCGACGTTGGGATCTGATCCGAAAATGAGTTCCAACGTGCGTCCCTTCGCCCTTTCACTCTAAGAGACGCTCAGTACCCCGCGCAAAAGTACAACGATACTTTTTGGATTGAGTGAATGTTTGAAACAGCGTGCGCTTGTTCCCTTCCTGCGCGCTAGTGACCCATTTTCGCTAAAACCGGAAGCACGTGGGGGACTTCAGTTCCGTTTGAGTCACCACACTCAATTTCCTAAAAATCCTTGACACACCCTATTCTACTGTCTTTCTGGGTCTTTTTCCGCACAACTTACCACTTTGACCGGAAGACAAAGCAGGGTGTGAGGTTGAGCGTCACACGCACTTGCAGTGATTTTACTCTCACAAAAAGTTTTGTTGGGAAGATCTCCAGACTCGCCAAGAAGTGGTGTTGCAGGGGCCACAAGTATTACATAAATCCTAAGTCTCCAATTAAGTGGGGCTTATTAGAGAACCCTTTTCCTATCGAACGTATATATAGCTTAGCTAGCCTACCTCTTTCTCTGGTGTCGATCGAGGCTCGCTAGCGAAATATCCCAGTTTCGAAATCGGGATATTATATTATGAAAGTTTTAGACGCAAGATATACTTCGTGAGGTGGTTACATGGATGCAGATGATACATTCAAGACCGCTCTCTTTCCATGTCCCTTGGGATGCTAACCGCCAAACCTCAAATTGATGGCCCAGTGGCCTCTCCGTCAGTCCCTAAGTGTGGTTGGTACTCATAACGTTCAAGTAGCGAAGCTTACACTTGTACATATATAATCATATATAGTCATATATAATCAATATACAATAAAATGTATGTTGTAATCATCAATATCTTTGATGATTACAACATATATAATCATATATAATCATACATGATCATATATAGTCACATATAATCACATATAATCAATATACAATAATATGTATGTTGTAATCATAAAAAATACCACTTGCACCGTTGAGTTGAGCTAGCTCAAAAGTGTGACAACTTTTCGAACATTTTTTAATTCATTAGAAATGAGAAAGTTATTTTTGCTTGTTCGCACGTTTTGTTTTTAATCACTTTTTTCCTTTTTTCTCCTCACGCCCGGTGCCCGAATTCACGCACACATGACGACGCAGGAGGGTCATAATCAGGAAAACATGACAGCATGAGGAAAAGACTTCCTCTTGAATGCACCTATCCCCTAAACGCGGCCAAATTCAACAACTTGTGTGAAAGTACTACCTATTTATTGGACGACCGCCTTGTTGCTCCGTTTGCTGAATTGGGCTTCGAACGGTATAATACTCGGATACGTCAAAAGCCAGACTCATTACATGTCAATAAAAGTTGTCGTTCCGTGATAAATCGTCGTTGAGCTGGCTACCAAGGAAAAAAAATGAGAGCTAGCTCAACGGAGGGGGCGTTCTATTTGAGAAAAAAACATTTTACTCTGGTTTACAATAATTAAAAAAACAAGAAAACGAAATCAAAATTTCTTTCCTTGAATCCACCGCTGGATTCGCAGGGACATCTAGCATCTTCGAGGTCGCGCCATGTCACATGTGATTGAATGCTCAGCGTTGAGGTAGCTCAACGCTGCTAATGAGACATGGCCCCAGGGGAGTAACAAGGACAACCCTCCACAAAACAGCAGTGGACCGTCATGAACTCGCCACACTCAAGCAAGCTCACCAAAAGTTATGACAGGGTTTCATCCTGGCAAGTTTGGCGAGTAAGCGCATGGCAACCACACACCTACTCTCCGAAGTTGGCGGATGGCGAATAGTGCAGCCAGGCCCAAATGAACAAAGAGTAGTGCAGCTAGACTTATATGAAAAATTGTCAGAACTGCAGGGGCAAACTTGGTTCGCTTGATCTTACTACCAGGTACCTGATGGCCCACAGCATTGCACCATGTGGTAATAATAGGCCGTATGTCTGTGATTGGGAAACCTGATATACCACCACTGCCGCCCATCCCTAGGTCCCTTGGGTCAGGTGGGACAACCACCACGAAACTCACATCATCTTGGTCTACAGTCAGGTGGTTCGCTCTTCACCAGATATTGAGAAAAGAGAAAGAAACAACACCTGGGAGACGAAAGGAGCTGCTATCCAGCGTCCTAACTCAGTTGGTAAAGCTCGCAAGTGGCATTCAGGAGGTCATGGATTCAATCCCCATTGGCCTCATGTACCTTCCTGGGCATGCTTGGTGCCCACCACCTAGAGATAGACAACTGGATCCCCCGATTGGCATTTAGCAGAGTCTGCTGATGTTCATAGGGGAGGGAACCTGAGGGGAGGCACAGCGATTGGTCCTGTTGGCATGGTCCCTGATGCTACCGGCTGTCCCCTAGCCGGTATCACCCACCTGCAGGTCGGGAGCAGCCCCCGCATGTTTTCTGTTTTCTCGTGAACACGGTTCTGGCTGCTACGGGGTTCCCCGTATGCCTACAATTAGTAGTGGTAGGTAGGTAGTGTGAGGTGAAATTGAGAGAAGAATATAGCTTTTTTAAAAAAAAAGAAAAAAAAAGGAGCTGCTTTTTGAGAGGGGTGTCGAAGAAAGGAACTGCTTTTTGAGAGGGGTGTTGACGAAAGGAGCTGCTTTTTGAGAGGGGTGTCGCTCGCCTGTGCTCTTGGGCGCACCCTTTCGTGGTCTTTTGCCGTGGTGGCGGCGGTTTCGGCAGAATGTATGTGGTCTCGTGGCCGTGATTGTACCCCGATCCCCTGAAGGAAAAACATGTGACAACCGTTGACAGAACTGAAAAGGAACAACACGCTTGTGTACTGTCGTCACGTGGTAGCGATCGAGCCTTGGCCACATTTCGCGATCTGCTTCTCGGCTGATGGGTTCTACTTTTCCTGTGGAAAGTTTGCCCCACTGTCGTCCGATAGGCCATCGAATGGCCATCATTTAGTGGCACTCGATTTCGCTCCCAAGATTAGAAAACAGTACGGGCAGGACTCTCAAGGACGTACGAGTCAGGCGAGCACTTGCGGCATGTATTTGAGCTCTTCTAAGGCAAAATTCAGCCCAGAAAGTTTATCTGCTTACTGCGCCTTCACTGGCGGTTGGGCCTCACAGCGGTGACCAACCCACGTTACCTGTACCTGTAGCGGTGCTTAAAACCCCAGGCTGCATGCACGTGGTCTCTTCTGCGTCCAAATGCAGCGCGGTACGAGTTGGTAGCGCACGAGAATGACACGCGAGGGGGCCTGACATCCACCGAGGTATGTCGTCTCGATACATTTGTTTTTTTTGGGGGGGGGGAAAAAGAACCTCGATACATTTTGTGACGGAGGCAAATGATGCAAATGCGGCGAACTATCCCGTCTACCTGTACACATCCATAACGGCGAGCGGTGTCAAAAAGCATATATATCCTTTCGAGGATTTGGATGAGGGATGTTTGTTTGACGGCGGTCTCGTGAGCAGGGCGGGCATTGAGAGAGAGGGGTGGAAAGAAAGCGGCATACATAGGGGCCATTCCATCCAGAGTAAGGGTTTAGGTTATCTCGCTCTCCTGTCTATCTCGGCCCCTATCGATCGCGGCTGGGTGACGGATCAGACCTGGAGCTGGACTACAGTAGTTCCAGGGTAATCGCAACTGCACCCCACGGCGGTCTTATCAGTCCGTTCTGTGTGGTACGGTGGTAGCGGCGTGTAGACTGAGCGCGGCGGGCTGGCGGGCACGTTGTGGATTTGCACGGTGCTGTGAATGCCGCCAAGATTGCGAGCAGAACCGCGCGCACAACTACGTAGCAGCTCCGTTGGCACGGCGGATTGCGGCAGTGAGACGGGAGTTGGAGGTGTGCAAGCGCGCCAACGGATGCTGAAGGCGGTCGGTTTTCCGGCGGGAAGACCATTTTGGAAATGGCGTTCTGGGATGAAAACGGCGGGGCGATCTGTGTGTGGTGATTCGACAGCGACGGCGTTGAGGGCACCGGCGGGCTCGTCAAGTCGATTAGATCCAAGCAACATTGAAGGCACCAGCGGAAAGAGAAATTGCGTGTCCCGGGAAATCATGTATCAGAGAAACGCTCCGTGGAAACGATACGACGATTAGTGCTGTTCTTTAGGAATGAGACATCTCATTCCCGCCACGAAAGACTTGATCAGTCTCCTTTTACAGAGGTATTTCCGAGCGATCGGTTGCCAGGATCTCTCTTTCTCTCATTCTCTAGCTTCTATGTCGCCCGCTGCCTGTCCTATTCGTTCCTGTCATTGTCAAGCTGTGATCTAGGGGCTGGCCTGCTTTGATGCTTCGTGTCGGGGAAAGAGGGGGACGCTTGCTTGTCACCGTAACTGTTTATGGGCAAGGCGTCACAGGGCGGACCAGCAGCAGCAGCAGGGGGAGGAGGAGGAGGACTCCATCGTCCAGCGGTGAGCTCGGGGCGGTTCATTGTGCGCGGGTCATGCGCTGAGGAGTAGTGTCTTTGTGATGGTCAACCTGTCACAGGGCGAGCTAGTAGGCGTGGGGTGTTCGTGAGGGACGGGGGTTGTCGCGGTTGCTGCACCACTTATGTTAAGTTGTTACAAGGAGCACGAGGAGGAGCAGGAGGAGGACGAGGAGGAAGCAGAAGAGGAGGGGCAAAGGTGGAGTAGGAGGGGCGAAGGTGGGAGGAAGGGAAGGGAATTTGCCAAGCGGAGTGCAACACCGCATTAATAATTACTTTCTACGAACGCTGAGCTGAGGAATTCACAGGCGTGCGAGTGATCGAGTCCACAATTTCTGGCGAGTGTGAACACAAACTCTGTGAGAGTACTCTTTACGCAGCCATACGTAGTCTCTCTCTCTTTCTTTATATCTTTTCCCTTGCTCGTTGTTCTCCTCTCTTTGGGAGGGCATTTTCTACCACGACGGAGCGACTGGGCACGCCGCAGATTATGGTGACCGGGACGGATGTGCCAGCGTCGTCTTTGCCTCCTTCCAGAACTAGTTTGCGAGCGGAATCCTCGTCATCGTCTAATTTGCCGAAGACCCTTGGCGCGGGATCAGTGGAGCCTTTCGTTGTGAGGCCCCAGGCGGGGGGAACTGCCGCCACCGCCACCTCCGCCTCCGCCTCCGCCTCCACCGCAGGCTCATGGCTCGGCAATGGCTCTCATCAGTCGACCAGCGCCGCTCTTTGTCAAACGGGTTCTTCTTTGAGCTACGCTGATCCGCCACCAGAGGCGGCGACGGCTACAAGGCTTGTGCCATTTCCTGAAGCGCGGGACGTATCTGTACAGCAGAGAGTGAAAGTTCCCGGGAGCGAGGTCTTAAGCGTCTGCAAGTCGCTCCTCGCAGGCGGTATCGCCGGCGGATTGTAAGTGTCCTCTCATCGTCCGTCAATATCCAGGGCGTGCGTACCACGGCTCTCCTGTCTCTGCGCTCATCATACGTGTTGCTTAATGCACGTGCGTACGTTGGCTTTCCTCCCTCCCTCCTCTCTGTTTCTCTCTCTGTCTCTCTCTGTCTCTCTCTGGTTCTCTCTTTTACTCTCGAATCGCCGTGTACTGCTCCTGCCAGCTTCTCAACTTGTTTGCAGCTCGTCTTCGGCCGTCTCTTACGCCATCCTTATCTTTGCTCTCTTGTCTTTGTAATCGTGTCCCTGTTTGTTTGGAACGTTTGTAAACTGGCATACCTACCTTTACTCTCCCGTCGTCTTTCTAATCACGTTCCTGCATGTTTGAGAAGTTTGTGAACTGGCATGGTTTCGAGTTCGTAATCATTTTTTTTCGCCTCTCTGCTTTGGATGATCTTCCTCTCTCTCTTTTTTTGTTTTTGGGTTTTACTTTGTCGTCACTCATTGGTTCTGCCTTTCCTGGATTTTCTCTTCTGCTCTTTATGTTCCCTCTTCTGTACTTTCGATTGCCCTGGTCTGATCGGTTCCCTACCTGATCTAGCCATTTTCCTTCTCGGTCTAGTGGTTTCCCTAGCTGGTGTAGTCGTTTCCTTTTGCTATTCTTCACGGAATGCTTGTGCGTGATGTCCCTGTCGCCGATCTCGCTGTCCTCTGTGAGTAAGTCATTCACACTCGCACGCAGTTGTTTGCACAGTTTGTTTATCTATCTCTCTCTTTTGGTTTCCATGTTTTCGTTCAGCCTCTTCTGTATTTCCCAACGGCCACACCAGGTGTGAAATTCTCCGTTTCTTAAGCTGTTGTTGCTCTCCGTTGTCCTCCTGTTTTTTGGTCATGTCCCGATGGTCTTTCGACCGTTTACTTGGAAGTGCTCTCGCCTTTCCTTGTTTATTCGAGGTCCTTTCGGGGAAGTTAGTGTTCACGATTGTATACGAGCTATCTTGCGGTCATGAAAACTTTTCTGGATGCGCCTGGTTGCAGTTTTGGCCGGCATTGGCTGTTATGGATGCGCCTGACCGCAGTTTCGGCCGGCACTGGTATCTGACCGCAATTAAGGCCAGAGCTGAGCCCAGAATGTCCCGAGAGTGAATATGCCCTGATAGAGTCGTTATGAGGGTGCCCTGCTACTTTCATTATGAGTCCAATTACTTCTTCCCTGTCATAGCATGCTGTGGTCTTCTCCTGTCTTATCGCACTCGTTCTCGCATTCCTTCTCGGCGGTATTTGCCATGCCCGTACTCTCCGTGGTTGCTCTTTAATTTTACTCCAGTGCACAGTGCTTCCATTTTTGCGAAAGCTTACGTAGAATTTCCTCAATTATCTGTCATCCTCGTTTTTCTGCTTTTCTCGTTCGTCTCCGTGGCAACGCGTTACTCATTTCCAATCCTGGCATGCGTTGTCTCCTCGGACGCCAGGGTCACCCTTCACCCTCTTAGCGCATACTCGCCGTCTTAGCGCATACTCGCACAAGGACTTTCTCTACTAAGGTCTGGACGTGATTGCAGTCAGATTCATCCAGGTCTGGTTGTAACTGCAGTTCGATACATTCAGGAAAATCAGTGTGTGAGTATGCCCTTAGGGTCTCGCCGCACCACTCGCCCAACGCCAACATTCTGAATGCATCTGGCCCTGGAAATAGTCCCGATGCATTCAAATGGAGGCGTTTGGCGAGTGGTGCGGCGATTCCTTAATTATCTCCTTCTCTCGTTCAGTCCTCTTTTCTTTCGTTTTTCTTTTGTTTTTCTCTTTCCTCTTTTTTTTAAAAACTCGTTCAGTTCCTGTTTGTTCTTCCACTTTTTCTTCGGCTGCTGTTCTCTCCGTGAATTGCGTTGGCTCACTTTCTCTATGCCGGTGCTGTTGGTGGCAACTTGTCCGTACCTGTTTCCAGGGGTTTTCATTTCTTTTGTGTTGGGTGTTTGTTTCTCTTACGTATTTAGTTTGGTCGATGATCGACTGGTCGCTCGCTCACTTATGGTCACCCTTTCTTTTTCAGATATTCGACATCCCTTAGCGAAAGGAGCTTCTCTTCAAAGCGTGTGCTGTATGCGCCCGATCGTCTCTCTGACAGCAGTCACCGAGAGAGGATGAGAGAGAGAACTGACGCAGCCATTTAGCAGTGTGTGAGAGGACGAGACTGGAGCAATTCAGACAAACACAAACACCTACACACACACACACAGAGGGGGAGAGAGAGAGAGAGAGAGGTGCCGCGTTATTAAAAAAAATGAAAAAAATGCCTTGAAGGAATTGTTACAAACGATATTCCAGAGTGTTTGGTGATAATGAATGCAAATCAGAGTTCCAAGAGGGGGGGGGTGGGGCTGGGACCAGCGGACACGATTCTGCAGTCGTTTGCATGCCTAGCTCTTGCACGGGAATCCCTGTGGAAGCCGCGCATACGATTGGATGAAGACGAGGGTCACTGTGCTATACGGCCTCTCGAGTGCGTATCGAGTATGGTTCTTCCTTCGTGCTTATCGTGCGCGAGAAGGCAATGAGCATGGCAGCTATGTCTTCGACCGAGCGTGCTTTACTTGGAACTGTCCGAGGAGGCTACACCGTCAATCTGTCTGGTTGGTTATTGAGAGCTGGTCAATGGAAGATAAAAAAATCGGTGTTTTTCGCCGCACCACCACAAGGAATGTCGTCAGAAATTTCGCGAACAAACAATGCAGGCGCATAATACAGACGTTAAAAAATCAAACAGGCCAAAATAAACGAAAAAAAAACACTAAAAAGCGCTATAAAACCCTTTTCGGAGTAGCTTTTGGAGACCAATTTGTTTTTCGAATTCTGTGTTTTTGCTAACTTTTTTGTTAGTAGTCGAAATGCATCGAAACTGAAAACAGATATACCCCAAATCACATACATATCGCACAAACAAACAAACAAAAAAAAAAACACCAATTCGGGGAAATATGGCAGTTTTGGCGAAAAATTGGCCGAAAATGAGACCACCTATGAACCATATATGTAGGCCGTTTAGCTCGGTATTACTCCAGGGCGAGCTTGGCTGCGTGCTGAGTTGGTGGATGGTCGCTCATTGGTGGCCTGTTCACCCACTGGCGCGTTTTCTGGTTGGCCCGCCAATTGTTTAGTTAGTGACCTATGATGGTTAACCAATCGTTAACGAGTGGCTAACCGGTGGCTTAGCAGTGGTTAACGGCAAGCTAACCATCTAGTGAGTAAGCAGTGGTGGGTAGTCCTGTGGCTTGGTGGATCGCCGACGGCTACTAGGAAGTTTATAACGGCGTGTCCACGCTGGTGATTATACCGGTCACTGGCTGGCCGGCCAGATGTCTGGCTGACGCGAAATGGTTTGCTAGTTAGCTTGTTCATTATCTAGTTATCTGGCGACGTTGCTACAATTCCTTTTATGAGCGAGTTGGCTGGAGAGACTGGCTTGCTAACTGGGTGGTCAAGCGAACTGCGTGGGTCATGGTCGGCTGTCAGAACTGCTGTGTTTGCGAATACTCTGCTTGCTCTTCTCTTTCTGCATTCATTGCTTGTTGCCCTGCTAGTACGGATGCAGTCACTTAGCCGTCACCATGCTCATGCTCTGTTTGTGGTCGGTTTGGGTGCGATTTAGTATCCCAACGATCGTCGGGATGATTTTTATGGTAACCTAGGAGGTCGCGAGTACCTTTTACTACGTATGGTTATTCTATTGATACTATTAGGACGTATATTATCGGTGATGATAACACAATAGAATATCAATTAACTGGAGTTTAAACCACCAGGTCACAATGGATTCGGGCGTGGTCCGGTAGCTAAAGCGGCTGGCCACTTTGTAAAGGCGCGCAGATGCAGGCTCGCGAGCCTTGGAAGGTGGTGGCTTCGTTAACTTAGGCTCGTGTGCAGGCGCAGGTTCAAAATAGCACTGGAAGACGGTGATTGAGAGAGAGAGGGAGGGGGGAGGGGGAGGATTAGAGGAAGGTCAGGGTGGAGGGGGGTTAAAGTCACGAGATCGACTAAGTGGGGGAGAGAGAGAGGTGTAGAGTCTAATGTGAGACAAAGTGTCTTATGTGAGAGAGAGGGCGGAGAGAAGGGAGATAGAAATAGGCCACAAAGAGAGAGAGAGAGAGAGAGAGAGAGAGAGAGAGAGAGAGAGAGAGAGAGAGAGAGAGAGGATTAGAGGAAGG